GGTGACGAGAGTCCGTGCGTGACGACTATTATGTTATGTCCGGGTAGTCTAGGATCCATAAGCATGCTCTACGTGATATTCTTGTAACTTGATAATGGATTCGGATTCGTATAAACTACTTTGATTAAGGTGAATGAGATTAGTGAAGGAACCTTATCCTGTTTGGTCTTTCAAAAGAGAATATTGAGTATTCCTGTGAATAACTACTCCTCAGATATACATTATAGTTTGCTTGTTGATGAGCTTATTTATATTTAACCGCCTCGCATGGGTGATTCGCGAGCGGGATAATAGATACATCTATGGTTCGAGCCGTTCGACCCTCGGCAGTGCATAATTTACTTTTATGTTGGATCGGGCCGTACGTCCCACGGTGTTACTTGCACATGTTTTGCTTAGCATTTTTCTCTGAGAACTGAATTTAATATCTGCTTGAGACATAGGTGAACATCCATGAAAATACTTGGGAAGAGAACTGTTAATCCATGACTATTAATGCTAATGACTTGTACTATCCATGCTCGTTATAAATTTTCCTCACATTTTTTGACCCTAGTGAGTATCAAGTCGACCTCGCGTCTCTACTTCTTCGAGATTAGACGGGATACTTACTAGGTACATATTGTTTATGTACTCATACTACACTTCTGTACTTAATTGTACAGGGTCTGAGGCAGGTACATCAGGCTATCAGTCGGGTGCGCATCTCTGAGCGGAGTTGAGACTTCTACGGTGAGCTGCTTCTCCTCCATGCCGTTCAGCAGCCTGAAGAAGTCTTTCTTTTGCATTTTTTTTGCTGTCTATCCCGTTTCGGACGGTAGGATAGTGTGATTCTTTTGTATATTCTGCTAGTTGCCCATGCTTGTGACACCAGGTCTTGGCACACACACATTAGTAGACTGTATTATTTTGGGGTTGTATGATTATCATGATTTTTATTCATTGTTTCTGAGTTATTCCAATTTAAAGAATTATTTTCAACTACTTAGGGTAAAGGTGACCGAATGTTTAGCTAATATTTTCCGCGTCGGCTTGTCCAACAAAGGCATTAGGCGCCATCATGACCTGTTATGGAATTGGGTCGTGACAGCCCTGCCCCATTAACTATTTTTAGAAAATGTGTTTTGACCGCCCCGCCTTGCCCTGCCCCATTAAGATTTTGCCCTGCCCTGTCCCATTAAGATTTTGCCCAGCCCCGTCCCGCCTCGTCCTGCCCTGCCTCATTTGCCATCCCTAGATAAGATTCATATTATTCATTTAAAAAATAGATAATCAATGGATAACCAATGAGTTTAGTTTTTACATTTGCAAAAATTCAAATCGGGTTCAAACTAGGAATTCCCCCAAAAGTGATCATAATCAAGAAGTCATGGATAATATGGATATTCATATTATCCGCCGGTTAATCCATTTTTATCTGTATTAAATATGAATCGGGTGGCGATATCTTATCTATTTTTACATCACCCATTTTTCACCCCCCATATCCGATTCGACCCACCCGTTTGCCACCCCTATCCATAGAGAATTAAATGGCGTTATTGGACTTCAAAATAATAGGAATTTTTACACAAATAGTTGGGTAAATTCATTATTTACTTTTTCTAGTCGATATACATATATAAATTATGCACTAACTATACACAGTTATAAGTATTTTATATATGAATTATATTTGAATTATATTTCCGCCGACTATTTTTAGTTTAAGTGATTAGGTGAACGTCTATTTAGGTTAATTCTTAAAAAGAAAAAGAAAGTGTTCCTGGGGTGGGCTCTAACACTACACCTCATAGAAACCTCATCCATAGAAAAATTGAACTTCAAGAAGAGTACAAAATTTTTCAAATTCAGAGCGAGAGATTAAAGCAAGCCAAGATTATTAGTGAAATCTCCTCTTGTAACTCAGGTGTATTTCAAAATCTTGGCTTGCTTCAATCTCTAGGCATGAATTTGTTGGATTTTGACGGATCTTTGAATTCGTTGAAAAACAACCAATTTCAACCACTTTTAAACCATACGCATTTTTACCCATAACGATTTTTAACCAAATTTTTTAATAATGAAAAGCAGCGGTCTCTCTTTGAATACCCCACAAACTTTCACTAGTGAAAACTATCAGATTTGGTCAGTGAAGATGAAATCTTATCTTGAAGCTTATGATCTATAGGAAGTTGTAATGGAAGACAGACTTATACAACCACTTCCTGCAAATCCTACCCTTGCTCAAATCAAAGCTCATTCAGATGAGAAACCCAAAATATACAAAGTCAAAACTATAATTCAAAATTCAGTTGTAGATTCAATCTTCTCTAAAATCATTGCATGTGAGACAGCAAAAGAAGCTTGGAAACACTCAAATAGGAGTATCAAGGAAGTGAACGAGGCAGACAAAATCAGATTTTAAATTTGAAAAGAGATTTTGAATCTCTTAGAATGCAAGATGATGAGACCATCGCTAAGTATTCTGACCGAATTTCTTTAATTGTCAATAAAATCAGGTTGCTTGGCGAGAATTTCAAAGATGACAGGATAGTTGAAAAAATTCTTGTGACAATTCCCGAGAGATTTGAATCCAAAATTTCCTCTCTGGAAGAGTCTAAAGATCTCTCTACCAACTCTGTTGCAGAATTAGTACGTGCTCTTCAAGCACAAGAGCAAAGAAGGGCCTTCAGACAAGACAAAGTTACTGAGGGTATTTTTATGCGAAACACCAAAAAGAAAAAGTCGATTATCCTTATTGCAAATATTGCAAAAAGAAAACACACTTAGAAAAATTTTGTTGGTGGAGACCTGATGCATTATGTGGAAATTGCAAACAAAAAGATCATGTTACAAAAATGTGCAAGTTCAAAGTTGCTCATGCACAAGCACTAATAGCAGAAGAACGAATTGAGGATGACCTTCTTTGGACTGCAGCAACATAAGCAAGGAGGAGTGTTGGATTTTGCATCTGTTACTGCTACTGTTTTCTAGAATAATTAGCTGTTTAGTTTTAGGAGGAGTCTGCTAGAAGATTCAGAATTTTAATTATAGTAAAAGTTTAGTAATTTAGTTGTAGGAGGAGTCTACTACTTTATTTATTTGGCTATTTAAAGCCATATGATGAATAAAATTTCAGAGACAGTTTTTCAACCTTCTTGCTGCTTGCATATTTTTCTAAAATCCATAACAGAATTTGCTAATACCATCTTAGTGTATCTGCTAATAACAATGAACTACACACACCATAAGCCTATGTTGAGTTATTACCAACGTAAGAACACACTTAAGTTTGCTTGAGATGAAATAAATTTTCAGTGGTTCACCTGTATTTTTCTGCTTTGGTTCTTGGACTGAATTTGAAAAACAAAGCAAAATCTTAACTATAATTAAATCTATAAAGAAAAATTCCACCATTTACAATTTATTGTTGATTATTTATTTGTTTGTGTAGCACCGACTCTAACACACATGCACCAAGCTAGTAAACTATAACGGAGCAAGCTAATGCTTTCAACTTTAACTAGCTTTCTTCAATTGCTAAAAGTAAAACCTTTTAGTAAAGTTGAAAATATGGCAATTAACGAATTCTGAATTTATAACAGTAATAAATTTGTATGATCTATCTGTAACAACAAGTCGTTGTATTATAGTGGTAAGTATTCCCGCCTGTCACGCGGGTGACCCGGGTTCGATCCCCGGCAACGGCGATTTCTTTTGTTTTTGATAGCCTTTTCCAGCAATTACATTTTTTCTACTTTCGCATCTTGTTTACGTGTTACTTTAAACTATTTTTTCTCTTGGATGTTTCTTTTCTTTTGCCAGTATAACATATCTCAATTTTTGTAGAAATTATTGGTCACTCTTATGAAAAAAGATTAAACCAATGTTCTGGTAAATTGTCTACTATCCAAGGTGGATGGACCTATAAGAAAAGAGGAATCAAAATTTAAAATTTGTGGGTTTTAAGTTTTAAATTAGCAATGTCAAGTGTTAGTAATTGGGTTTTGATTTTATTTTTGTACATATTTTTTTGAATTTGTTTAATACATATACATGATTTATGATTTGTAATAAAGCTACTAGGTGTATAGGTCCGAACTTGACCGACCACGGCCGTAGCGAATACGACCAGCAACCCAAAACCTACGAGTCGGCATAGGGGTACGACCCAGAGGTGGAAAGAGTGACGCCATCATAGTAGCGTCGGATTTGGCGCAGTAGGTAGTCCCTGATTCGTCGTTTCCACGACTAAGGAAAATCTCTCTCTATATAAGATAGGTTCGAGTCTTGTAAATGGCAGACAGTTTTTGTGGAATATACAATTTTATTAACTTTTCTTTCTTGTGATCTCTCTCAGTCTCTTTCTTTACCACTAAAATCCTAGAGTTTATTATCTTGGGCTAAGATTTACCCCTTCATCCGTGATTGATTTGCTTAAAAGAAGAATAAAAAATCTTTTGAGTCAAACAATTTCGCGCCGTCTGTGGGGATTTTCATAGCCGAAATCATAGTTCTCATCTAGGATCTCAAAAGTAACGACTACTGTTCTTCAAATGCTGCAAAGACTAACAATGGCGGAGAAAGAAGCAAGACTGAAGAGAATAGCAGATGTCTCAAACAACCTCTTAAACTCCCTCAACGAAGCTGGTAGAGAAGACACCGAGAACATAACACCAGGAGATACACCGGAGGGGCAAATCTCTCTCTCTCCACACGAGGACCTAACGATCTTACGCGAAAGAGAAGCTTCCACGTCTACAGTGAAAGAAACACCACCAGCGGTCAAAAAGTTACTAGAAGAATAGTTAACAAGCGCTCTGAACAACAGGATCGAAAAATCCCCTGAAGGAAACGTCGGAGAAGTACCAGCTGCAGAACCCGCAGTTAACACCAAAGAGCCAAGTATCGCACAAACGGGCAACGCTCACCCCCCCTATTGCAGGCGACGATGCACTCATGGCCATCTTAAAGAAAATGGAAGAAATGGAAAACGAAAATAAATCACTCTGCGACCAATGAAGGAGCACCAGGAAAGGGTAGACAAAATACCTGGTGCCCCCAAATTGCTGCCAAAATGCGATGTGGGCCGATTCATTGAACAACCATATAGCGATGGAGCCGCTCCTCACCCCATTCCGAAAACCTTCAAGATGCCACCATACTTGAAAATCTACGACGGAACTACGGACCCCGAGGATCATCTGATCCATTATGTCACTGCGGTAAAAGGTAACGATCTGTCGAAGGAACAAGTACCATCCGTACTGCTGAAAAAGTTTGGCGAGACCCTGAAAGGAGGGGCCTTGACGTGGTATTCAAAGCTACCGACACGATCTATATCAACGTTTGAGGAAATGGCGGATAAATTCGCTACCGCTCACGCAGGAGCGAAGAAAGCTGAAGCCAGGGTCAAAAATATTTTCGCAATCAGGCAAACGGCAGGTGAGGGACTTTGGGACTTCCTCGCCCGATTCAACAGGGTAAGAATGAGCCTACCGAACGTATCCGAAGGAATGGCGGTAGCAGCCTTTCAGAACGGATTAAACAGGAACGGATCCAAAGCGACCAAGAAGTTGCTTAGCAGGCTCATGAAATATCCCCCCACCACATGGGAAGAAATCCACAATGACTATTGCGCCGAGGTGAGGGCAGACGAAGACGATCTGAATGGCCCGATTCAAAGACTAACGTTAGTACAGACCGAGGCGAGGAAAGATCGACGTAACGAGGGGCGAAGGGATCAACCCCCGCGTTTCAATCAAGAAAGGCATCAGCCTTATGTCAGAACATCTAACCCGCCTCCTCCAAGGCATACAGATGCCATGATACGACACACCGCTCCCCTTCAAAACGAAAGAGGTATGCCTCCACTGTTATCTGCTCATAACTTTTGTGTTTCCTCTTCAGAGATAGTGTACGCACTGGAGAAGTTGGGCAGGTGCAATGGCCACAAAAAATGAAATCGGACCCAAGCGCGAGAAGGTCGAACGTCCTCTGCGAATTCCATCAGGAAAGAGGACACAAGACCGAAGATTGCATAGGCCTACGACAGAAAGTGGTCAGGATGCTGAACCAGGGGTATCTGAAAGAACTGCTCAGCGATAAAGGAAGGGCCAACTTCGCTAGAGGACGAGACCCATCTCAAGGACCCCCAAAGCCACCATCACCGGCGCGTACCATACAGATGATCATCGGTGGTGGCGACGACTCGATAATCAACCATGTGAAGTTCACCACCACGCACAAACTCAAACGGTCGGTCGCCCACGAACGGTATAATGACTTCGAAGACAGTATCATATTTGAAAAGTCAGATGTCGACGGTTTGTCTTTCCCTCATTATGATGCTTTAGTTATAACATTACGCATCGCTGATACAGATGTAATGTGTATAGACTTCACCGATCTGAATAAAGCGTGCCCCAAAGATTCCTTCCCGCTACCCCATATCGACCAACTGATTGATGCGACAGCAGGGCACGAACTGCTGAGTTTTTTAGATGCCTACTCCAGTTACAACCAAATTCTAATGGCCAAAGAAGATCAGGAAAAAATGACTTTCATCACTCAACAAGGAACTTACTGCTATAAAGTGATGCCGTTCGGACTCAAGAATGCGAGGGCCACTTACCAGAGGTTAGTCACCAAAATGTTCAAGGAATAGCTCGGCAAAACAATGGAGGTCTATATCGATGACATGCTCGTAAAGTCGGCAAAGAAGGAGGACCACATTGGCCATCTGAAAGAAGCCTTCGAGATATTGAGGCGGTACGGGATGAAGTAAACCCGGAAAAGTGCACCTTCGGCGTGACCTCAGGGAAATTCATAGGTTTTCTCGTGTCGCAACGGGGAATCGAAGTCAACCCAGATCAAATCAAAGCCATTGACACAATACCTGAGGTGCTGACCAGTAAAAAACAGGTATAGAAGCTAACAGGGCGAATTGCCGCCCTGTCGAGGTTCATTTCACGATCCTCGGACAGATGTCACAAATTCTTCAACATATTAAGAAAAGACCACGGGCTGCAATGGAACGAGGAATGCATCGACGCCCTGAGGAAGCTAAAAGCATACCTGTCCTCACCGCCACTACTCGTCAAAGCGGACCCAGGTGAGTGCCAACTCGTATATTTGGCAGTATACAAAGTCGTTGTCAGTGCAGTCTTGGTCCGCGAAAACATAGGTACGCAATCCCCTATTTATTATATCAGCAAAACCTTAATAGATGCCGAGACAAGGTACCCTCACCTTGAAAAACTAGCTCTGGCACTAGTCGTAGCTTCACGAAAGCTTAGACCATATTTTCAATGTCACCCTGTAAAGGTAATAACAACCTTCCCCCTGAGAAGTATCCTGCATAAACCCGAACTCTCTGGTAGACTCGCCAAATGGGCAATAGAACTAAGCGAGAACGATATAACTTACCAACCGCGAACTGCCATTAAGTCGGGTGCTCGCCGATTTTGTCCCGACTTTAGCGCAGAAATATTACCCGCGGCGGAACAGGAAGCGCTTCGCGCTTCCGCATGTACCGACCTCTGGACCCTCTATACCGACGATGCTTCGAACGCCTCGGGATCGGGACTGGGACTCGTCCTCGAAGTCCCCACGGGCGAGGTAATTCGCCAGTCCATACGATGCCCAGAGATGACTAACAACGAGGCCGAGTACGAGGCTGTGATTGCAGGTCTAAAATTAGCCCTCAAGTACGGCGCCCGACGACTCATCCTCTATTGCGACTCCCAACTCGTTGTAAATCAAGTCACTGGGACTTTCCAAATCAAAGAGCAGAGACTACAAAGATATCAGTCGGAAATCCGTAAACTACTGCCGTAGTTTGAAGAATGCTGCCTCGACCAGATCCCCGGGGCACAAAACATGGAAGCAGATGGCCTCGCCAAATTAGCTGCGGCCACCAAAAATATTGACAAGGAAAGCGTGGTCACCCTCCTTCACTCAGCCATAGACCACATCGAGGTACTTTCTCTGAACCTAACTAGGGATGGCGAAACCGCTTTGTGTCCTATTTACAGGATGGAATACTCCCGCAAGACAAGAAAGAGGCCAAGAAACTCCGGGTGCAGGCAGCTCGATACAGCCTGGTAAATCATGACCTCTACAAAAGAACATTTGGCGGTCCCCTAGCCAAATGTCTTGGACCACACCAAACTAGGCAAGTACTGGAGGAAGTACACGAGGGTCACTGCGGCGCCCATATAGGGAATCGCGCCCTCGTTCGATGTCTCATTCGCGCCGGCTATTACTGGCCTACTATGAAAAAAGAAGCCGCGGACTACGTTCGGAGATGCGAGCAATGCCAAAAGTACGCCCCTATGATACATCAAGCAGGGGAACTCCTCCATTCGGTCACCTCGCCATGGCCTTTCATAAAGTAGGGAATGGATATAGTCGGCCCTCTGTCAGCAGGACGAGGAAAGGTACGTTTTCTTTTGGTTTTAACTGACTATTTCTCTAAATGGGTGGAAGCAGGTGCGTATGCTCAGGTACGTGAACAGGAGGTCATTGCCTTCATATGGAAAAATATTATATGCCATTTCGATATCCCCAAAGAAATCAGTTGCGACAATGGACCCCGGTTCATCGGAAAGAGAACAACTGAATTCTTTGAAAAATGGCACATCAAGCGGATACTATCCACGCCATATCATCCCGCTGCCAACGGCCAAGCCGAATCCTCCAACAAAGTAATACTGAACATACTGAAAAAGAAGCTCGAAGAAGCTAAAGGGCAATGGCCCGAACTACTACCTGAAGTATTGTGGGCATACCGAACTACGCCAAAATCTAGCACGGGAGAAACGCCCTACTCACTTGTCTATGGGACCGACGCAGTCACACCTGTCGAGGTCGAAGAACCCAGCCTGAGATACTCCCATATAAGCGGGGCAGATAACGACGAAAGTAGGTTACAAAACCTAGATGAAATTGAAGAACGGAGAGGCATGGCCCATGTGAGAATGATAGCCCAGAAGCAGCAAATGGAGAGATACTACAACAAAAAGGCCAAAGTAAGATCACTCAAAGTTGGCGACAACATCCTTAAAGCCAAAACACTAGCATCGAAGGATCCGAATGAGGGGAAGTTAGGAACAAACTGGGACGGACCGTACAAAATCATAGCAACAGCGAACAAAGGAGCATTCCAACTAGAGACAATGGAGGGAAAACCTCTCCAAAACAACTAGAATGTCACCCATCTCAAGTACTTCCACTTCTGAAAGCACCTAAGTCGTACTCTTTTTTCTCACCCGAGTTTTATCCCAATCGGGTTTTCTCGGGGAGGTTTTTAACGAGGCGGCGAAGGGGATACCCTGTGGATCGGAACATTATTCATCACTTCGGCCCGTCGATTTACTCTCCGGGTCAAAGTAATGAAGGGACTACGCAGTTCAATCTCCATTGTACAAACGGAATTCAATCTCCATTATATGAACGGAATTTGATCTCCTGTCGATGCCCCCTTTCTCTCGCGAAATCGGGTTTATGACATTTGGGCGAACAACTCGTTTCCTTTTGGGAATTGGGTTTGCAATTGAAGAGTTGCCACCTAATGATTAAGTGCATTAGGACACTAAGAATGAGTTTGATTTTAGAAAAAACCAGAGATTGGGTAAGGGCTTGAAATTATCTCGAGGGGAAGGTGTTAGGCACCCCTCAAGATCCACTAGTGTGGTTCCCGGCCATGCTACAATTGTGACTTTAAATACAAACAATAAGTAAACAAGCAAGCATTGTAAATACTAGATAGCTTTCACATAATGGTTGCAAACAACTGAAGTACAAGAAGTTTAAAGAATGCTGAAATTTGGAAGAAGGCAGTTTTATAATTCTAAAAAAAAAAGGGACACACAAGTAAAGGGGAAGGGGTTTGCAAATAATTGATGCAAGTAATCAGAAAAAGAAGTGAAAAAGGCGGAAGTTTTGGGAAGAAAACAATACTGAAAATAAAAAAAGGTTTTTACATAATTGGTGCGAGTAGTTGAAGTAAAAGAAAAGTTAAAGAAGCTGAAAATTGAGCAGTTTCTTGTTTTAAAAAAAGGAAATTCTGAAAGATTAAACAAGTAAAGGAAAGGGGGGGGGGGGTCCTAGGTTTATAAATAATATGGATCACCCCACACAACACCCGGTAACCGTTTATACACGTGGTGTTATCGCGTGGTCATCATATCCATATCTACCATTTCCCATCCCGTTAAGGTATTAAAGCGCAGAATGGTCTCGTTACTTATTGCATGCTATTACCCGTCTCAATCCTATCTGTCCCGGAGGCATTTGGGACTACTAGTCCTAAAGGGGGAGGGAGAATTAGCTTTTAGTGGTTTAAAAGGATAAAAGTCTAAGGCAACAGTCAAAACATATATGACAAGTATGGGGAAGCACATAAACAGGTAAGGCTCAAACAAAACCTCCTTAAAACAAAGAGAAACATATAGTTTTAGCATGTCTTTCAGATACTGATTAGGGTCTAAATTAACTTAAAGCGTTAAGGCAGGTTGATTTATCACATATTTTCAGATAAGAAGTCCGAATTAGGCCTGCCCGCTGGTTGTAATTATTAAAGACTGGTATAGTTAATTAATTACCTATTGGCTTGCCTAGGTGAGACCTATAGGCATGATATCTAGCAATGCAGAAGTATACTAATTTTAAAGAAGGCTTGCTGATTATAGAAAAACATAAGTTCTGCAGGTATTGAGTATCGTTACCACTGATTTTAGACTTGTAGATGATTCAAATTCAGCTGGTTACTCCTATAGGCATGCTTTCTAAGCGTGGTTGGTTTGAAAAACGTTTATAGAAATGCAGGAGTCCTATAGGCATGGTATCCAGAAGGCAATTTGTTATTTAAACCTATAAACTGTTTGATAGATGTTTATGCAGAATTTAAGAGATCCTATAGACAGATTCTCTATACGAGACACAGAAATGCAGAATCCTATAGGCATGTTATCTATATGAGATGCAGAAACGTAGGAACTATTGATATGCATGAAAGAGAGAACTTATAGACATGGTTTCTAAAATGCAGAAGTGCAGAACCTTAAAGACATGGTATCTTTATGAGTGCAAAACCTTAAATACATGGTATCTATATATGCATAAGTGCAGAAAACTGAAGGCATGATTTCTATATATGAGAAGTGCGGAACTATGGGCAGAATTTCTATATGAAATGCATAAGTGAAAAGCAGTATGCGATTACAGGAATAAATACCTAAGAACATGATGTCTACCCGCATGCATACATGAGTGACCCTTCCCTTTTCACTAAAACCCCCATAAGTTATTACAAAATTATTACAAACCAGAACGAATCAAGAAGAATAAAATTACATCAGAAATTAGAGTACAACCAAGGAGAGCCTGATTCAGACTCCAGGTCTGAAATATGAAATAAACCAACTCCAAAAATCCAATTTCCAAAGCCTTTCTCATTTTCTGGGTGTGTCAGAGTTCCCAAAAGCCTCATGAACTCCGGGCAGTGCTTACACCCAAATTCATTACAGAATTGAATTATAGTGCAGTGTGGAAGGGCCAACCCTCAAATGTCCAAGTTCAAAGGGAACTCAGGGTCTCCAAAGCAAGGCTCATAGGAGGGGGAAGAACTTAGAAACTAAGAGTGAGTGTAAGTGCAGAAAGGGGATTCTGGGAGAGCCAAGACAGGCTGGTGGTAATACCCAGCAATTAGGAGTGCTGGCACACCCCTAACCAGCCTGTTAGCCACATTGTTGGGAGTTAGGATCCCTTAAAGGATCAAGCCTAGACATGAACAACAATTTAGCTGCTGCCATGCCCAAACTTTAACTCAAACACATAGAGGGGCATAGGGATATGGGGATCCACAAATAGAAACATGTTTAATGAAATTGACATTGCTGATTAACATTAAACAGAGGCAGTAATGCTGTCAGGGGTGTAGGGATTCATAGTAGAAACATATGCAAGGGAATTGACTTTCTAATTAACATTAAACATGAGTAGTAAAACAGACAGGGATGTGGAAACTGTAAAGTAAACACGTTGGGATGAGGCTAAAACTTAAATTAGAACGTACCAGTTTTTGGGAAACAAGAAAGTAAAACAGTAGCCTTGAAAACCAAATTGCAAGCAAACAATCAGCAGGTCTCAGAAGAGAGTAGAGTGTTGGGTGAAGTGTAAGAGTATTGAAATTGAAAGTATGTATGTATGTTAGAGTATTGAACTCAAAGTTGTCTTAAAGAGTATTCAATTGGAAGTTGTCAAAGTGCAGAAGGGTCGTCCCCTTTTATAGTGCAGCAAGCAAGTAAGAAAAAGGTAAGAGAATAGTTTTGCAATCAATTACAAAAATTTAAGGAAAGAATTTGATAGTAACACGGTTTGTGAGAATAAGGAAAGGGAATCAATCAAACAGCCAGAAAAATCAAAATTGCAGGTTTTGTTCGAATGAACTAAGTCAGGAAAAGAGAAGAAAGGGTTTTACTTAAGGAAAATCAGTAACAATCAATCAAACCTTACTAAAAGGAATTCGGAATCAATCATAAGTTGGTAAAACCTTTTTGAAGGAAGAATTTCTCATATATAAAGCACACAGGTATGCCAAACAAGGAAGTGTTGTCATGTTAATTAGAAAACCTATCATAGAAAGGTTCCGAGTTATAAACAAAGAGGTTCCAGTCCAATTTATAGACTCAGAATGAGTCTGGGAGTTCAGGATTACAAAGTAGAACCCAAGTCCAAACACCAAATCAAACTTGCCAAAACCCTCAGATCCTAGGGTTTCAACTCGAATCCGATACAGCGATGAGAAGACAAGCCATTGAATCAGGCTCAGAGGTCTCTTTCAGAGACTCATGAGAAACAAACAGATATGATAGCAGGTTTGAAAACATAAAGAACACGTTTGAGAAAAGCTCGGAGCTCAAGCAAGTTTAGAAGAGAGAAGAAGTGATATAAACTTAAGAAACAATAAAGGAAGCATGTTTAGAACTCAAACAGAAGTTCAGTAAAGGCAAACAAACTTAAGAACTCAGTAGGAAACACATACAGTAGAAGAATACTGAAAAGTATAGCAAAGAACAGATAGAAAAAGATAACAAAGATTGACATGCGAGCCTAGTTTAAAGGCACAGTAGAATACAAAGTACATGAGAGTCATGCATAGTAGAAAGAAAAGCAGAAGAACAACACATGCGTGGTAAAACATAGTATAGGTAAACACACATAAAGAAAAGAAAAGGAAGAATCAGAAAGACGTTTTGAAATCCTTTCAGTAACCCTAAATCGAAGAGAAACAATTTTGAAAGAAAAGATTGGGGAAAACACCTTAAAAATCCAATAAAACACGGATATAGCATAGATCTAAGAAAACAGACAGAGAAAAACCTCGAATAGCTTA